AGAGGAATGTGTGAATGAAAGAACTTGCAGAAGATGGTTTGCAAAATTCAGAGGTGGAGATTTCACCCTTGAAGATGAAGATCGAACCGGACGTCCAGTTGAGTTTGATGAAAAGCTTCTTGAAACAGCCCTGGAAGAAAATCCTGCTTTATCAGTTGAGGAATTGGCAGTGGTTATCGGTTCAAACCATACAACTGTTCATCGTTATCTTCAACAATTTGGAAAAGTTCCTAAACTTGGAAAATGGGTGCCTCATAAATTGTCTGAAAACAACCTCAAATCCCGAGTTGACATCTGCTCTTCTCTCCATTCTCGCCAACTTGTTTCACCTTTTTTGGATAGACTTGTGACTGGCGACGAAAAATGGATCTTTTATCGAAATGTTAAGCGTCGTAGACAGTGGCTTGGTAAAGTGGAAGGACCCCAGCCACAGCCGAGAAGGGAACTTCATGGGCAAAAGGCTCTTCTTTCAATCTGGTGGGATCGCCAAGGAATAATCCACTTTGAATTCTTACCACCTAATGCAATAATTAATGCTCAAATATACTGTCAGCAATTAGAGCGTTTGAACCAAGCTTTGAGGAACAAAAGACCTGCTCTAGTGAATCGAAAAGAGGTGATGCTTCATCAGAACAATGCGCGACCCCACACAGCAAGAATCACGTCACAAAAGATCGAAGAACTTGGTTGGGAGAAAATTCCTCATCCACCTTATTCTCCCGATGTTGCTCCTTCAGACTACCATTTGTTTCGTAACTTACAGAATCATTTGGAAGAAACAGCTTTTGTAATACAGGAAGAAGTTAAAACTGACATTTGTGAGTTCTTCGAATCAAAGCCAAAAGAATTTTAGTGTAATGGAATTAGTAAGCGTGTTAATAGATGGAAGGAAGTCATAGATAATCAGGGAAAATACATTGTTGATTTAATCTGTAATTAAATGTAACATTTGGTCACTTGTTTTCTTTATTCAAAATTCGGACAGAACTTATGGGATGACCTGATATTTTTATAATAAAATTAACAGCATTTATCTCCAAACTATACAACTAGAAATACATTTGCACTGAAAGTACAAAATTATGTACAAAATATTTAGATTCCGACATTAAATAACCCATAGAGGTGTTGATATGCCGCTAAATAAAAACAATCAATGTAGACCCATTTCTTCAAAAAATAGCTTATATTGATTTTCTAAGCGTAGCTTAGATGTGGTAGACTACTGAAAGTATGAGTCACCTAGTGAGGATCAAACTCACTATTCAGTTGTAATTGTTTTAGTGAGACAAGCTTGTTAACCATTACACCACGCCGAGGTAACCCCCTGCCCGCAAAAAAAAAACATAGCTTATAAATACGCAAAGCATTGTTTAAAAGATGATTAAACAAATTACAATGACTTCCTCATAAAAGCCACGAATAAAAAATATCTGGATCCACCAGTACTTTTGGCGAGTGTAAAATATATTGTCTATTACAGCATTCTATGGATTTTATAGTTTCAACTTTGTTCAAGACGGTAGAGAAGATGGCAATATACGGAAGGGAGTTCCACTGTCGAGAAGTGCGAGAAAAGAAACTGCTGGAGTAGAAGTGGTGCTTACATTTAACTATTTCAAATGTAAAAGGGTGGGACCTAGATGCCAATCTACAAACACACTTGAATTCATTTAGTCGGGGTACCAAGAAAAAAAATTCTAAAAAAACATACGTTTGCCCCGAAAGTATAAAATCACATACAAATTATTTGTAGCTGAAGGAAAGAAAATGCAATTATATTTGGATTTTCGTGTGTGAAACAAGTTCTCCTTCTTTTGTATACATGATTTCCGATACCGCAAATATTCATATCCAAAGCGTATATGTGAACAGTGCCGGCGCGTACTACCTCCTCCCCCATCATGACTTCTCGACCTGGGGTTGGGAAAAAGCATGATTGGGAACCCCGGGTAGTGATTTGTGACCATCGCTATCTTATCGACATTTGGGTTTTTTTTCCTATCTATAATATATATATATATATATATATATATATATATATATATATATATATATATATAATAGGCATTATAAATTAAGCTAAGCACAACTGACTATTTAAGGATGAAATATTTTCGTAGATTTTGACGTCATTCTGTGATCTTTTTTCTCATTCCAAAATTTAGTATCCACCAATAAACTAATTAAAATGGTCTTATAAATTTCTATTAACATGATAAAATAAAATCCGGAATAATCATTGGAGTAATCATTTCAGAGCACTTGGAATTTGCAGCCCTCAATATTTACAGTTAAATATTAACAGAAGGTGAGTAATATATTAAAAATACTTTAATCTTTTATATAAAAGTCCTTAAGGTTACTCCAATGTATTTCTTTGAAACTCCTCAAATACCAATACGAAACTATTTCATATAAATGCGAAACAAAAGGCTCATAAAATATTCCAAAATAGAAAAGCAATTCTTCATAACAAGCATAACGAATCAAAATACATCTTTCTACCCACTAACTCTATCACAACTACAACTGAAAAGAATTTATCTAAACTCAACATAAAATCTGTCACAACTATATCTGGAACCAGAAAAGATTTAATACGGAACGAAACAGTAAGCTAACACTTGAAGGAGGAATTTATTCTTTTACCTGTAATAACCGCCACTACGAATATACTGGAGTAACCTCAAGGAATTTAAATAAAAGATTATATGAACCCAAAAGGGATCTTTTACAAAACAATACATTAAACACATTGCTCACCGTAAATGACCACAATATTGATATAAAGGATGCTATTCTAATTAAAGAGAAAACAATTGAGTAAGACGAAGAAGTTGAGAAAGTTCTTTAATTGTTAGATCATCCACAGACAATTTGAGTCAAGCTTCTTGGCAGATCTTCTATTATCACAAAGTGTGATATTTCATAACAAAGATGTTGGAATCAAAACCAAAAAGAACCTAAATGAAATCGGCGATATGTGATGCCCAAAACACATGCACCAACGCAAAAAATCATCTTTAAATTTAAGATTTTCTGAATCGCCCATTTGTGCACAAGTGTAGTCGCACTAACGTAAACAAACTTAGTCTGATGAAGTTCTAAAACTTTTTTACATTGTCATACATCATTCCCATCATATATATATATCAAATCCTCCTAATAATTTCTATCATGTACATCATTGCTTGAACCGGCTTCTAATGCTCTATAGTGAGCGGCTTGGTGAGAGTAGTCGTGGCTCCAGTGGGCACAGTCCTATGGTTACAGAGAACTCAGTAGAGTTCCACCACGAAATATGTGAGCGAGCGGCGCTTTGTTGAGTCTGATTTGCAATCTCTTCGTCACCGAGGCCTAGTGGAACAGTTGGTATGATGTTTGCTTTACAACCTAACTGTCAGGATTTCAATTCTCGGTAGTGTATGCGCACTGCTGATGGGTCCCAAATATAGAACGAAACGGCCGTCCAGTGCTTTCTGCATTCTGTTGAGATTTCTATCAGACTCGATGAATTACTTATATATATATATATATATATATATATATATATATATATATATATATATATATATATATATATATATAACGAGGTTAGCATCAGCCATATGTTGATGGATGGTAAAAAAAAAAGTTATCTCGGACGATTAAATGAGAACAGTTTCGTGTTTGAGGCGTTAACACGGACAAGCCATTACTTGCCCCAGTTAACAACAGAAAGTACATCGTTTTTTTTTTTTAAATCAGCTGCCAATTTGATCTTATCGAACCGGTTAGACTTACTATTAAGATACGAATATATTTTAGCAGAATGATCCCCCCACGAAACATTGCATTTACAATGCGGCTGTGTATTCTTCCCCCCCCCAAAAAAAATAGCAAGCGAACATACCCTGTCGTTGTCTCGCTATCCCAGCTTTATTTGCAGGTAAATATTTCCAGAAATGACGTCACCTCGTAAAATCTAGAGATTCTAATTAGATTTTTTTTTAAGCGTTTCACCACAAGCAAGGCGAAGAAGCCACTAGGACGCAAGGGGTTACAGAAGATTTGGAATAAGACTAGATAGGAGTGATAGAAGAAAGGATGAGGAGAAGGGTAGTGGATAGATCAGGGCAACTGGAGATGTCGATTGACATTACATTTGAATAGCTGGAGATTATAGCACTCAGGGAAAATGGAATAGGGAAGGGAGTTCCACAGGCGAGAGGTGCGAGACATGAACCTATTGGAGTAGAAGAAACGGCTACATTTAATAGTTTCGACAGTGAAGGGGTGAGAGCGGGATGCCAGCCTCGTAGGGCGCTTGAACTCATGAAGTCTGGGAACCAGCTAATGCAGCTCCTCGGAGCAATTGCCATGAAAGTATTTTTAAAACAGACAGAGAGAGGCGACGGCGCGTCTGTGAGAAAGTGACTGTAGACGAGATGCCAGTACAGGGCCAATTATATTGCATATCCGCCTCTGGAGCCTATCAAGAACTCCGAGGAGACTCGAATCATGAATGAACGTTGTCCGTATTGTTGAGAAAAGATTAAGTCCGCAGTTTATGCCCACCAATCGGCAAAATAAGCATTTATTGATGATGTCTACTAAATAATGAGTTAATCAAGAAATGAACTCTAAATTATTTTATGAGCGAAATGCATCGAAAATGATGTCGTTATAGAAATGCATTTCGCAACACTTGTCTGGAAATTTGCATTGCAAGTGATTTTACTAGCGAAATATGATAGGATTCTAAGAAATAACTGAAATGAAATTACACTACAGGCTTACTGCAATCGACAAGAATACAGCGACGAACATCGGTTAGACTTGCTGTCACATGATAAACAGAATCACAGAAGGGGATTTGCAATGGCTTGTGGGAAAACGCAATATCCTTGAACATTGTAAAAAAACTGTAATATCTAAATTTAACTAAACATCATATATTTCTTTATTTTTTGTCCAAAAATACTAATATTATGGTATTTTGTATTCTTCTTCTTTAGACTTTATTTTCTCTCTCTCTTTTCTTCTTCTTCTTCTTTTAAAATCCTTCCTCTTGTAACATCTTCGTCTTCTTTCTTTCTTTTTCTTCTTCTTCTTCTTCTTCTTCTTCTTCCCTCTCTCATCTTCTTCGTTTAAAATCACTTATTTAGGCTTCATCCTTCTGTATTGTATTCCATCTAACAAATTCCTTCTCCTTGAAACATCTTCGACTTTTCTCTTCTTCTTCTTCTTCTTCTTTTAAAATTCTTCCTCTTGTAACATCTTTCTTTCTTTCTTTCTTTCTTTCTTCTTCTTCTCTCATCTTCGTCTAAAATCACTTCATTAGGCTTCTTCCTTCTGCATCGTATTCAACCTAACAACTTCTTATTACTTCTCCTTGTAACATCTTCGACTTCTCTCTTCTTCTTCTTCTTCTTCTTCTTCTTCTTCTTCATTTAAAATTCTTCCTCTAGTAACATCTTTCTTTTTTTCTTTCTTTCTTTCTTCTTCTTCTCTCATCTTCGTCTAAAATCACTTCATTAGGCTTCTTCCTTCTGCATCGTATTCAACCTAACAACTTCTTATTACTTCTCCTTGTAACATCTTCGACTTCTCTCTTCTTCTTCTTCTTCTTCATTTAAAATTCTTCCTCTTGTAACATCTTCTTTCTTTCTTTTTTTTCTCTCTTCTTCTTCTTCACTCTTCTATTCGCTCTTCTTGCTTTTCTTCTTATTCTCTCTTCTTCTTTTTTCTTCTTCGTCTTCTCTCTTCTCTTTTCTTCTTCATCTTCTTCTCCTAAAATCCTCACTTCTTTTGGCTTCCTACTTCTACATCATTTTCAACATAACATCTAAGCTCTTCTTGTAACATCTTCGCTTTTGTCTCCATCATTATCTTCTACTTCTCTTTTCGTCTTCTTCTTCTTCTTCTTCTTCTTCTTCTTCTTCTTCTTCTTCTACTTCTCCGCCTTCTTCTTCTCTCCCTTCTTGCTGCTGTTCTTCAATTCGGCTTTGTGTTCCTCCTCTTGTCTCGTCTTTAAAATAATAACTTGTATCTCAAGTTTTTGTTCACACCGCTCTATTTGATGTAACGTGCGATTTTTCATATTCTCGGCTGGGCTCCAGCTTCCGCCGAGGCGAGCGCCCTCTGCCCAGTAGACCAACGCAAGCCGCTCCTGCTGCATTAATATCTCAAGAAACGAAACGAAATGAAACAAAAATAAGCCGTCAGCCAGCGATAGGTACTTCAAAAACGATCGACCTCAACTCTTTTCGATTAAAAGTACTTAATTGGGCGGCTCGCTGATCAGAAGACGCCGCTAGCGATTTTCGTTTCAAAAGATTCTTGTGCGTGGAACACTCTCGTGTTTTCGAATCGTCAGAACTTAAGAAACTGCAGCAGGGGGGAGGCGGCCTCCGACTCGGTTTTGTAAAAGCGTCTTTAGCGACCGTGCGAGAGAAGGCCTGGCTCCTTTTACTCTCCTCTCTCTGTGGCCGCTTAAGACCTGGAATAAAAGGTAAAGGAACAACTCTTAGCGGAAATGAACTGGGGTCCCTGAAATAAAGGCCCCTTTACTGATCTGTCGGTTTAAACTGGAACCAATCACACTTCCTGAAAATAAGAGATTAACATCAGGTCATGAGCCCGCTCCAAGTACAGGAGGCAATCGTTTTGGTGGGCGGGTGGTCGGGTGTGGTGGTGGTGGTGTTGGCGGGAAAAACCAAAACCACTATGGCGGTGGCGAGTTTTACTGCTCAGTAACCTACGTATGTTTATTTCCTACCCCCTATTTTCTCTCTCTCTCTCTCTCTCTCTCTCTCTTAGATTTTCTACCTGCCAACCGCCGACCCCCACCCCTCAAAGCGCTTGGCTTTGTAACTACGTTCAAAAGAAGCAACACGTTCTTTTCAAAGATTGCATACAGAGAAAGACAAGACCGAAATTTCACGGCCTCGGGGAAGATTGCATTACACAGATCTTCCTAATGATGAGGGGTGGGGCCCGGGTGCTACGGATAGAACATCTCCATCGCTCTCTCTCTCTCACTCACTCTCTCTCTCTCTCTCTACATATATATATATATATATATATATATATATATATATATGCACAAGCGGGAAAGGTGGGTCACCAGTTGTTTGGGTGTTGTTGGCGGGAGAAGATATGGTTAGCACGGCTGCCATTGCAGAATCGGATTTAAATACGATATTTTGCTTACATTTATACATACACATGTGAAAAAGCTGAATCAAAACAATTCTTACAATTGTTCTCCGCCATACCTACTCGAAAAAATGCAATATATATATATATATATATATATATATATATATATATATATATATATATATATATACCGTCTCTCTGTGATTTGAAAAAAGATATGTGTGCACGCAGGCGCGCACTTACGAACACACGCACGCAAAACATATATATATATATATATATATATATATATATATATATAAACGTATACTTAAGCAGCATGAATTCATTCTAACATGGTTTATTGAAATCTACCGACAGGGTCAGTCTGTCCAATTCCATTTTTTTTTTATTACGTCTTTCCAGTTTACGTATAAGCAGTCGCATATGCGGATCAAATCTCAAATAAATTTATCCAAATTGCATATTATTATTGTTTTTGTTTTTTGGGGGATGTTGGGGGGGGTCGTTTTGGGGTTTTCGGGTTATATTGACTGTGGGAGTGCAGGTGGTGTAGCGATTAGCGGTACACAACAAGAAATCGGAAAACCGTGTTCATTTCCAGCCGAGTTCGTCACCTCCGCGTATACGCGCATCGTTCTTGAAAAAGATATGAGTCCTTTCCTTCTCCCTCACCCAGAACAGCAGACTGCGATCTCTATCCGTGGTTGTCAACCAGTCTAAGAGAAAAAAATAACTCTTTAATTCAGACTCTCACGTAGGATTGATGTATGCAGTCATGGAAAAGATCATTAAGTTCAAAATGACTAGAATCTCGACTGTGGTAATCTTTTCACGGTGTCCACGTATTACTGTTATCTTCAATTTCGAAGGGAAATTAATATTAAAGAAAATTAATATTAAAGAAAATTAATATTAAAGAAAATTAATATTAAAGAAAATTAATTAAAGAAAATTAATAAAGAATCAACACTTCGCATGAATGACAATTCTTTTTTTTTCTATGCAGTTTACTCAAAGTATTCGGAATAATTTGTTGAATAGTGGAACGCTTTGACGTGTATCACGTCATTCCAAGGTTGTGTTATACACAGACGAGCATTTAGTGCCAGGCAAGGAAATAAAGCCACTCCCTTGCATTCGCCCTTGCATGGAGTATTGCTGCCATATATGGTCTGGCGCCCCTTCTGTTTGCCTCGGGGTTCTTGATAGGCTCCAGAGGCGGATATGTAACATGGTTGGCCCTACCCTGGCGTCTCGTCTACAGTCACTTTCTCACAGACGCACCGTCGCCTCCCTCTGTCTGTTCTACAAATACTTTCATGGAAATTGCTCCGAGGAACTGCATTCGCTGGTTCCCAAACTTCATGAGTTCAAGCGCCCTACGAGGCTGGCATCCCGCTCTCACCCCTTCACTGTCGAAACTCATAAATGTAGCCGTCTCTACTACTCTAATAGCTTCATGTCTCGCACCTCTCGCCTGTGGAACTCTCTTCCCTTCTCCTGTTTCCCTGAGAGTTATAATCTCCAGCTATTCAAGTGTAATGTCAATCGACATCTCCAGTTGCCTTAATCTATCTACTACCCTCATCCTTTCTTCTATCACTCCTATCTGATCTTCCTATTTTCTGTAACCCCTTGCGTCCTAGTGGCTCCCCGCCTTGCTTGGGGTGAAATGCTTAAAAAAAAAAAAAAAAAAAAAAAAAAAGGTTACTGACAGTAAGAGAAACGAAAGAACAGTTTTAAGAAATGCAGGTATGTTGATCTATCGGCTAAATGAAAAGTGCACATTTTTTTCTTTTATAAAAGCAAAGGAAATAACATTTCTCCTATTCTCTCCCAATTCATTTCTTATGCTCTTCTTTTTTTTAATTTGTTTTTTCCTTTTTTATGGAATTTTTTGTATATATTTGTTTCGTTGACTTCTATAGAAAATTTTCAAATATGTAAAAAGAAGTGATGTTTCATAAGTTGTGTTTTTAAATAAAATTAGTTTATTACCACCAATGTTAACCACCTGATGATATATCTAAATTAGACATCGAAACAAATATGCATTTTTGCCATGGTAACTTACACGTTCCAACGTAACAGCTTATAATATATATATATATATATATATATATATATATATATATATATATATACATACATATAAATATAAATAACTAGACTCGTTTCGAAAAACCCATGAATTTTTGATTTGTTAATCAAATCAATTTCGAGGGAAAAAAAAGTTTTAAAAAGAAAGAGCTACAAACATGAACTCCTGCCGACAAAAAATCGCACAGATGCAGGTCTGAAGCCCAAAGAAAAAACCCCGATACGAGTAACAACTAACTAACAAAAGAGCTCAATACAATCGTAGAGCAGACCCTAGATACACCTAGTGAGATAGACAAACCTACCTAGGTTTCACCTAAACGGATCGTCCAGGGAAAGCTAACGAGGCAGAAACACATATTTATAGGTGATAGCTAAAATCATACCATTTTTATTTTTTTTTGTTTTTTGTTTTTGTCACGTGGTATGATTTTAGCTATCACGTATAAATATGTGTTTCTCTTTGCCTCGTTAGCCAAGCTTTCCCTGACGATCCGTTTAGGTGAAACGTAGGTAGGTTTGTCTGGCTCACTAGGTGTATATATATATATATATATATATATATATATATATATATATTTGGCCACAGAGGCGTGTTCCGTTAGCAAGTTCGAATTGACTGTATTTGAACTTCAATCTTCTATGAATCTCTCACGTACATTCATATCTGCTCATGGCGTATCAAATATAAACAAATGGTGTCACACATTATGACAAATCGGTGAAGGCACGTCAGGCTAAATGACGGCTCCGTATAGAATACAGGTTCGAATCCTGTCGGAGGACGAATATTTTCTGTGAAAATTTCTCGGACATTCAGGCCGGTAAATGTTGTTTAATACTGTTTATTATAAACAGAGCATTTACTTAAATATTTGTATCTATAAAAAGAATGTATAAACATAAAAATGTCTTAAAATAATTGTCGGACTTTTTTTTCAAATCATAATGCGTGACGTCATATATATATATATATATATATATATATATATATATATATATATATATATATATATATATATATATATATATATATATTTTGGGGTGGCGTATGTAAATATGTATATATGTATGTGTATTCGTAAATTTAGATACGTATATGTGTATATATATCGATTCATGTATATTGCATTTATATTTGTATATGTATATATATATATATATATATATATATATATATATATATATATATATATATATATTTACGAATTTATATATGTAATATGTATGCATATATATATGTATACATGGGTGGATGTTTATATATATCGAGTTTTAATGGAAGGACAGAAGATTTTTATTACCTTTTAATTTTACTTTCTCTTTAATTTCTAATTAGACTTGAAAGATTGGAAATTTTACTCATCTGGAGATAATGTCAATTTAAATTGATCACTTCGATTTAAATTAAAAAATGTTACTCCTTAACCATTATTCATGATGTTAAAAATATTAAAAATTGAAATTTTTTTTTTTTTAAATTTAAACACTTAATTCACCATCTTACGTTAACCGTAAAATTTAAGGAAAAATTAAATAGGTATAAATATGGACGCGTGTGGAGATATGTAAATGTATATGGAAGTATTTGTATATGTATATGCTTATATACCGATGTATATCGATGTATGTGTATGTTGTTATATGTGTACTTGCACATATACATAAATGTATGTGTATGTGCTTTTATGTAAATATGTATCTGGTGTAAGTATGAAAAAAAAGTAATTTTTTTTACTATTACCTTCAAATCTTACTCCATCTTGATTTGAAACCTAAATTTTAATTAAGAAATATTACCCATCTAAAAATAGCTAAAGGTTAAATTCATAAATTAGACTCTAACTGATAATGATTCTACTTTAACAGTTATTCACAATATTAAAATATTACTGTTAGTAATTTTTTTTTTTTTATTATTGTTGTTTATTAATATAGTATTCAACTTATATTAAATCCCTAATTTATTTGTGGAGAAGTTGGATATTTAAACTGCTAACAAGCATTAAATTTAATTTCTTTGTGGAGTTTTTAAACATTTAAATTACTATCAAACGTTAAAATCTGTTTTGATCTAAATTGCTAAAGCTATACCACCCCGCTTCGTCCAACAAAAACCCTACGAACATCTCTTATCTCTTTACTTCCCCCCTTTTTTCTCCTTTTCCTTTTCCCATATCATTTCCGTTGAGTTCACCCATTAAATAGGTGAATGTCTGATCCTTACACCCTCCTTCCTCACTATTAAGTATTATAATAAAAAGAAATATAAAAATAAATTTTAAAACTCTACCTTCCCTCTCTAAACTCGACCATGTCTCTCACACCATTCCTCACCACCTTCTATGCAAACTTATATAAGCTTAATACTACCCGTCAAAATTGTAAATTGTAAATTCATTTTTCGTTACACCTTTTGTAAGTGAAGTCTGAAGATCCAGAGAAAAATAAAATTGTCTGGTGAAATAAATTATTATAAATGGAGCCTTAAAGTGGTCTGTTTTTTTTTTAATTAAATAATATATATATATATATATTTCTTCTTTTAGTACCGACACCAGAAAGCTCATCCCAGAAAATGAAAGGATCCCGTAAAAAAAAATAAGCAAAACAAAACGCATCTAAATTATTCAACGAAACTCTCAATCTCTTTCTCTCTCTCTCTCTCTCTCTCTCTCTCTGTGTCTCTGTGTGTGTGTGTGTATATATATATATA